TACTGTCTGGTCCTCGACCAGCGATGTAGCGTTCCTCCCACTATTTCCACTTTAAGTGGTCGAGTTACGGCTACTGCCAGGTCCTCGACCAGCGACGTAGCGTTTCTCCCACTATTTCCACTTCAAGTGGTTGAGTTACGGCTACTGTCTGGTCCTCGACCAGCGATGTAGCGTTTCTCTGGCTACTTCCACTTCTAGTGGTCGAGTTACGACTACTGCCCAGTTCTCGACCAACGATGTAGTGTCTCTCCCACTACTTCCACTTCAAGTGGTCGAGTTACGACTACTGCCTGGTCCTCGACCAGCGATGTAGCGATTTCTCCTACTACCTCTACTTCAACAAATTTGATATCAGGTACACAAGATCGCCAAGTGTTTTACCCAGAGATCCCTCACCACAGAAGACACCTAGCGTTGCAACCTATCCTACTGTCCCTTTACGCCGTCTTGACAAGGCCTCCGAGGAACCTAAGGGAACTTCAGCTGGGGACACCCAGAGCCGATAAGGCCTTGTCGGATCCTTCAGAGACAAAACACCATGTAAGATCTGGTCGTGTAAGAGTTCTCGCCGTGCGTATTAACCAAGCCGTGTAATCGGAAATTGAGCTTTCGAACTTCACGGCTGGGGGCTAGGATCAGTGCTTGTTCAAATGAGGTAGGTCAAAGGTCCAAGAGCCTTATCATCCGAGAACGATTCTCCGAAGACAAGGCTCGGGGCTAGGCAGAGTGCATGACTCTACAAACTGACTGATCGGAGTCGGTAAGAGAGAAAACGCTCATATACAAAACACTGGAAAATTCTATTCGACATTGTTGAAGACTCCATGTCTCTATGGTTCTACACCAAGATCGACTAAGGCGAGTACAACAAATGTCGACAAGGCTCCGTCGTAGACTCTACGCCTTCTCGATCGCTCGAGAACGGTTGCTGGATCTCGACAAGGAATACGGACTGAAGAGATGGTGTACCCGCCGAGATAAAATTTCTTGACTTCAATCCAAATTCTCGATTACAGCAAGACGGAAGACTTAGTCGTACGCTCTGTACTGGTGTTATTATGGTGAATAAAGATCAACGACCGGCTCCGGCCAACAAGATGTAGGGTTATTACCTTCCGAGGGGCCCGAACCTGTATAAAAATCTCTGTCTCCGCCATCTTTTACCTCAGTCTCGCGTATATCCTAGCACCAACGATCCCCATACTGTCCAAATACTGTAGTCGCGACATCAAACGTCGACACAATTTGTTTTGTAAAACTATTTTCAAAAAAACTAATGCGCATGTCTAAGCGAACGCGCGGGCTATCTTCCTAGTATTTTTTTTTTAAAAAAAGGAGTAGCTTTAAAACAGTTGATAGTCTTTTCATTGAAAACTTATAAATATAAATATACTGCAAATGAAGTGTAATTAGATTGTAACTACATTATGACTATAATATAGCTTATATGCAACTAGTATAATTGAAAAAAATGATTTGTGCACTGGTGGAGAAATGCTTTTTAGTCCCGGTTTGTAACCCCCCTGTAGTCCCGGTTTTCCAACCGGGACTACGAGTCCGGGACTAAAGATCGCTATCTTTAGTACTGATTCAAATAACTGGGACTAAAAATCAATCTTTCGTCCCGGTTGGTGTTAATAGGAGCATCTTTAGTCCCGGTTGGTGTAGTCCCGGTTGCTAACACCAACCGGGACTAAAGATATTTTTTCTTTTTATTTTCCGCTTTTAATATTGAATATTGATTTCACACCATCCCCTCCCATATCCAAATCATCACATCACAGAACATCTCCAAATCCTCAAATCCTCAAACAAATCATCTCTAAATACATCACAAACTCTTAAAAAAAATTACATCACAGGGTTCTAAAAAATTCATCACAGATTCACATCTCACACAAAAATACATCACAGATTCACATCTCAAAAAAAAAAAAAGAAAAAAAATCCGGCTGGCGGCCACTGCCGCCTCCCCTCCTCCCCTCCGCGCCGGCCAGCCAGCGCCGCCCGCCGCCGCGCGGCCCCCCGCGCCGCCGCGCCGGCGGCCCACCGCAGCCGCCGCACGGCCCCCCGCGCCGCCGCGCAGGCCTCCTCCGTGCCGTCCCCCGCGTCGCCGCCTCCGCGCCGGCCGCCTGCACTGTGGGTGAAGGAAAAAAGGAAGGAGAGGAGAGGAGTTAGAGATAAGGAAAGAGACAAGAAGTTAGAAAGGAAAAAAAGAGATAGAGGGAGGAGTTTGTTGTGTGGACGGGAAAAGAGGATCGGTACTATGGATTATATAGTGTGTTTTGATTTTTATTCCCGATCAGTAACACCAACCGAGACTAAAAATAGGTTTTTAATCCCGGTTGGTGTTACTAACCAGGACTAAAGATCATAGGGTCCTGACACGGCCTGACATGGAATCAACCGGGACTAAAAATGAACTTTAGATGATTTTTAGCGGGACTAAAGATCTTCCTCTTATTAACCGGGACTAAAAATCCTGGTTTTTAATGGAACCGGGACTATTGTGAATTTGGGTCGACCGACCAAAGATGATTTCTCTACCAGTGGTGGCCGGTTGGCTAGCGCAGCCTGCTTCCGCTGGTTTGGGTCCTTCTCGAGCATGTGTAGAAAAACATAAGTATTTTTTTTGTCCTTCGTTGTATGAATCTCGATGCAATCAGATGGTAGATGACTTAAGGTCCTGTTTCTTTCAGCTTGGGATTATTATAATCTAAATTATTGGAAGTAAGCTGAAAGAAACAGACAACTTATTAAAGTAGCTTATTATAATCTGGAGCCCAGTTAATAATAATCTGATAAACTCATTTAGGTGAGCTTTTCCAGATTATTGGGTGAAAAATTACCCATCATGCCACCCCACTCCCTATTTAGACTTGCAAACCCAATAATCTAGGCTCTAATAATCTATGAAAGAAATAACTAACCGCTTATTCTACTACAGATTAGTTATAGTAATCTGACTCAATAATCTAAATTATAATAATTTCAAACTGAAATAAACAGGGCCTTAGAAAGTTTTAAAGAGGAAAAAAACTGCCGATAGTTTTCACGAATCCGTAAAAAGAAATTCTAGTATATTTTGCACCTTTTACCCTGTGCATTGTCCTTTCTTTTTTCTGAACCCCACGAATGAAGACGATTCTAATTAATTGAGCGACACGCGGACGATCCAAAGGGGCAAATTCATTTGGGACGGCAGCCGGACATCCGGCTTTTCGAAGAAAGCCAACAGAAGCAGGAAACGCATACAAGTCAAACAAAAAAATTTGGACGCAAATACTACGAGTCAAATTGACGAGATAGATGTTCTCCGATGCGCGTGACAGTGTGAGAGAATGACCGTGCGTCCCTTTCTGGAATTCTGGACGTACAGGTACTCCTGATTTCCTAGCTAGTAGCCTAGTACTAGTATAGTTCATATAAGTACTGGTTTAACCCGTATTTTTTATGTGTTTATATAAGTACATGTATTTATAATTGATTAATTTTTAAAAGTAATAGTCTATCCAATTTCATAATTCTTGATGTTTTAAGTTAAGGTTGAGATTAAACCTTTATAATTTTCACTATAAATAATTTTAAGAATATTTAAGTCAACATCTATATATTTGTGTCAGGGTTATGGATACCACATACCTAATAGTAGTCGACTAAATCTCGGCAGGACCCACCACATACCATATCTTATACGGAAACAACCTTCAGATATGGAGGGAGTTCCGAATAAGGAAATACAATCAGAGTTCTACATGGAAACGACAAGGACTACTCGGATTTGTATCCATATTGATTTCCCTAGTTCTACTTGGACAAGGGGACACCTATGTGTATAAATACAAGACCCCCTAGGAGGAGAGAGATGAAGGAAGAGACCCACCACAATCTACGGAACAACATACAAGCCAACATACGCCAAGACAAGCCGCCGGATACCGACATCAGAGATATGCCTGGATCGACCCTATCTGGTACCTTCAGAGGCCGGCCGTAGGGATCTAGCGTTGTCTCTGATCTCGCCGGATACGGATTCGAGGAGGAAGGCTACCCTGTTGTCGACTACGAGTCAGACCTATAGACCGCCATGTCGACAACAGTTAGATAGGCTACCCCAAATATTGTACTAGTGTGATTATGGTGAATAAGATCAACGACCGGCTTCGGCCAATAGGATGTAGGGTTATTACCTTACGAGGGGCCCGAACCTGTATAAAAATCTCTGTCTCCGTCTCTTTTACCTCAGTCTCACGTATATCCTAACACCAACGATCTCCATACTGTCCAAATACTGTAGTCGTGACATCAGACGTCGACAATTTGTTTTGTAGTATAATAAAAGTAAAAAAAAATTATTTATTGCATATATTACAAAAATATAATCAAATGTATATTTTAGAGATCGAGTGTTATTGCTCAAAATGTTAAGAATTATAGAATCGAAGGGAGTGAGTGACTTAATTTCCCTCGATAACAAGGTACTAGTGATAACTTTGTGAGTCAATATGTTGGTCTAATCTTCGGATATATACTTATATAAAAAGGATATGCGTTTATAGGGAGTACGTACCTGTGCACACGTTTTATAAGCGCATGCGTTTCTGCTGAGTTTTGAAATGAAAAAGAAAAGTGTTTAGTTCAGCGTAAAGTTTGGATTTTGGTTGAAATTGAATATGATGTGACTGAAAAGTTGTGTGTGTATGACAGGTTGATGTGATAGAAAAGGACTGAAGTTTGGATCCAAACTTTGATCTAAACACAGCCATAGTATACTACGCATGAGTAACGACCCGGGTACGGTAGAGAACAAGAGACTTAATTTGCAATATTGACAGCAGCAGCAACCAGGAAGCTAGCTAGGTTGCAGTTGTGGAGTCCAGGATGAGGGTATGCATTGCCATTCACAGCCTCAAATTCAGTCTGTACGTATTAGGCGGTAAATATCTCGATCCCTTTCCCCCAGCTTCATCAGCTGCACACTATATATTCACGCATGCAGCTGCAGCTAGCTAATTCTTACAGCTAGTTACTACTAGCATATACTTTATATCCTCTTTATCTCTAATAAGCTTAATTTGACACGTACGTACGGCATGCATACTCCATCAATGGATCAGCCGGCGGCGTCGAATGGTGATGAGGCGCCTCGCATGGAGATGTGCCCGTCGCTGTATCGCGCTGCACGGAGCGGGCGAGCGGAGGAGGTCATGGCGTTGCTTCTGCAGCAACGGCCCGGCGATGGTGCAGCAGCACATCGTCAAGTCGCTGGTAATTGATTAATTTAACAGTAACCACACACAGCTTATCACTGCAGTTGTCTGTTCATTCAAAGGAAACACTTGCCATCTTAATTTTCTCCAATCGGTACGGAGAACCGATTATAAACATTATAATCATTCAAAGTTGATGATTCCTACCAATAATTTCCATAAACATTATAAAGTGTTTATGGAAATAAACACTTGCCATCTCAAATTCTTGGTAGGAATCATCAACTTTATAATGTTTTAATAACGTCTTACATTTTTTAATGTTTTTTTATATCATTATGCACTCGGAAAAAAATATACTCCCTCCGGTTTCATTTTAATTGACGTTTTGGACAATGACACGGTCTACAAATATATCTTTGACCTTATTTTTCTATTATAATATATACAATAAATAAATACATGTTTACTTTTATTGTAGTGCTTTGAAAGATAAATCTATATATGTTATTCTAGTTTCTTTAAACTAAATATTTTTAAAGTTATTGATGGTCAAAGTTATAAAAGTTTGATCTCAACCTTATCCAAAGCGTCAATTATTAAAGAACCGGAGGGAGTAGTATGTAATTCATCGCTCCATGAGTCTATTAACTCAATCATCCATTCAAAAACATCCCAATAGTCCAAGAATGTGATGTGATATGCATCAAGGTGACTTTGAATTGTATTAGTCCTCTCTTGTCTTGTACAGACCTGTTCCTTTCTTGACATGACACTATTGTAACACGTATCAACACTTCGTATAAGGTGTGTAAACATCCTTGCTCATAGAGTCGTATAGTCCATACCAGAGCACCAAATGACCGTGTTGCCCTGGTAAGTTTTGGTTTGATAAAAAAAATCCAGAGACTTTGACTTGTACAACAAAATCAATGTCGTGTGGAAACAATTTGTAATATGAAGATTAGTATAAGTTCAATTCATACACCATATATAAAATATATTTTGACTTGGTTTAAATTATTATAAAGTTTGATATTATTGGATAATTTTATCATACTCTCTCCATCCTCGTTTTCTTTTCATTATTGACCATCAACATTTCAACCTTGACCACTGATAACACTTAAATGATTAATTTATAAAAGTTGCACGTTTGTATTTATGGTACGACGCATATATATTACTTTCAAGTATATATAAACTTTTTGAAAAGGGGAGGAAGCTGTGAAAATTAAAAAGTAAATAGGATTATGGGCCTTTTGTTTGGGCTTAGGCTTATAGATAAGCAGCTTATGCCAGGTTTTTCCAGTTAGGCAGCTTATTCTTCCTTGGCTTAAAAGTCTCCACTGTGTTGTTTGGCAATCTAGCTTTTGTGTGGGATGGCTGATTTGCTAACTATTGAATGGTCCAAAACACCCCTGAGATTTTGGTGGCTTGTTTACAAGCTAAGGACATTGTCAAATGTATTTTTCTGGCGTACGTATGATCTGCTAGTAACGTCACAAACATCATCTTATATTGTTACAATTACCGTGACCATTATATTAGTAAAATAATAAGATCACATATATGCCACGACAACAAATGAGGAAGTAAAATAATACAAGCACATATATATAAATTAACCTATCAATCTATGCCCTTGTTGCCGTTAGTGAATTAGCAATCCTATCACGGAAAGCATTCATGTCTTCATCATCCACCGCTAATCCATTGATACCATTTTCTTGAGATGAACTAGCTTGTTCAGTGTTTGGATCGAACTCTTCATCGAGATCACATCTCCCAAAAAGTTCATCACGCAAAACACTGTCTCGAATAAAATTGTGAAGAGCCATACATGCAAGAATAATCTTCGTTTGCCTTTTCATCCGATAACTTGGCAAATTCAGTAAGATCCGGGTATAGCTGAACTGTTACCAGTGACAAAAGCTTTATCATACGACGTCCATTTCTTGTAGATTAGCCGGTGGTCCATTACGAAAATGCGTATGATTAGGGTGCTTCTAAAAAGGGAAAAAAGAACAAAGTTAGCACAAGTTTAAATGTAAATATGAACTGGAACATGTAAAGTGTTTAAATAGTATATACCACTATGTGGTCCGCCCACCAAGCATCATCAGCAGTAAATGTTCCTTTAATTGGATCCCAGCCTAATCCAGTTGATTTTTCCTTCAGTTCGATCCACAAGTTGTATTCCTTCTTTAGTGTTTCCCAGTGGTTCTTTAATTGTTTTTGGTCATGCTTTTTCCCTGTCCTCTGAAAGAACTTCAGCTGTAGATTTTTGTAGCCAGTAGTTGACAAACAACCCGTAGGTCTATTCCCAGCCTCACATTCCTCGGCACAGATCTCACAAAAGGCCCTGTTGCTAAATGTGTCCCAATTTGCCTTGGATCGAGGAACTAGATCCATCTAGACAATTTACATTCAGCCATAAACACATTTTAATGATTTATAGTAAGATTTATGTAATGCTACATGACTTTATTACATGAAAAATGTTTAGGCAGTAAAGATGCACAGCAATGTATTCAGAAAAAAAAAGATATTCAGCAATTTAACTTCGTGCTGTGTAACAACTACATTAATGGTCTAAATAAATCATGTAGGCAAATCACGCAATAAAACACATCATACTGATATTCCATCATTGTCACCTGCTAATTTATCCATCGAGAATATGGGCTTGTCTTAATTACCTTGATCACAGAAGGCTGCCAAGAAGATGGCGCTAGTGTCAGGGAAGAATCTGATGACAGTTGGGAAGAAGAGCAGCAGGGGCCTAGGGGAGGAAGAGGGCCACCGATGCCCGTCGCCGGCGGCGGAGAGATGGCTCCTTGGTTCGCTCTCGCTCGAGGATAGAATTCAAACAAAACGATTCGTTCCGTAATTATAAATGGATTGCATGGTGGGTAATTTGTTATCAAATTTAATGGCACTGGATATTCTCCAACCCACAAAAGCCAGAAAAAGCACCTTTCTATGGGCTTTCGGCTTTTAGTTATAGGGTGGCTTAGGCTTTTTTAAAAGCCAGATGAAAAAGCCTGCCCTTTGTTTGGGCTTTAGCTTTTCTGGCTATAAACTGAAGCTTAAGCCTAAACAAAGAGGGTCTAAGTGATGAGTATTTGAAACAGAGGAAGTATATCCAAAGTTGTTTGGGACAAACGTGATGTTTCCTCGAGATGCAAAGCCCCAATCAAGGAGGTTGTTGCACAGAGAGATGGAGTGCTACTATCATAAATCAAAATTGTCCATTGTTTGATTTTTAAATACAAATCCATGCACGTCCTTCATCTACATTTGCCCTTAAATGTTAGCTACAATACTGAAACATTTCAAAAAATATATAAAGAAATGCAAGCCTATGATATCTCTATCTCTGTTACTTGAGCCCACCACCCCCTGTCAGGAAAACAACAGTTTGCCTAGAACTCACAGACATACCAATAAAACTAAGTATCTGATGTTTCAAAACCGTCTTAGTACCAATAAAATAAACCTATTTTATCTTGCGAAACCATCTCCGCCCACGATGCCATCATCCAAAAATCCAACCCCAAACCGATCCTCTATCCTCGGTCATCCTAGCATGCAAAAAATTAGAAAACCAGGGGGGATGACCCTGTGAGAACTAGAAAAAAAGAAATGGGCTCTCCTTCTCTAGTCCGCCACACAATAATGATCTTCTTTTGTTCAAAAAGTTGATTTCTGTTGCAACTCACAGACATTTGACTAGTATATCATCATACAAGCAGCATTTAATTCTCCTCGTACCCATTTCAGGCATCATTCAGCACAGACAGTGCAACGTACTCGAGGTGACGGCGGAGAGGAACACCATTCTTCATGTCGCAGCGGAGAAAGGGCATGGCGAGCTGATCCAGGAGCTCTACCATAGGTTCATCAGGGACAATAGTCTCCTCTCTCGCCGGAACTCGGCGATGGACACACCTCTGCACTGCGCGGCGAGGGCAGGGCACGCCGGCACCGTGACGATCCTTGTAAATCTGGCCCAGGACTGCGAGGAGAATATCCTGGGATGCCAGAACGCGGCCGGGGACACGGCCCTACACATGGCAGCGAGGCACGGGCATGGCGCCACCGTGGAGGCTCTTGTCGTGGCACGTGCGAAGGCGACCGTGTTAGTTAGCATGAAAGGTTCGGATCATGTGATGACGACCTGACAGCTTGCATGCATGTAGTTGTTGAGGTTAGTTTGGATTAGGTTAGTCTATCCATGCGGATCAGGTTAGCCTTTCCTCCACATGCGATAACAGATGTTTGTTAGAGTTTGTTTTCTGTTTTCTGTTACTGCATGCAGTCGTTTCATCAATCTCGGCTTCGGTTGTTCTCAGCTGCGCCGAACTCTGTATCGCCACGATGGGGGCTGTTCCCATCACATATATATTAACACGAAGGCGACGCACAGGATTAGTGCGATCGTTTCCACCCAAACTAATTCACATGGTATCAGAGCGTTGATCAATTCCCTAAGAGATCAATACTCATGGCCTCGTCGTCCAGTACGGCTGCCACAAATCCGTTCCAAGGCCACCCAATCTCAGAGAAGCTTGGGAAGGCAAATCATGCGCTCTGGAAGGTGCAAGTAAGCGCCGCAGTTAGAGGAGCGCGGCTTCAGGGGCATCTCACCGGTGCAACCAAGCGGCCGCCGGCAGAGATCGCTGTCACAAAAGATGGCGCCACCAAGAAGGAGCCGAACCCAGCCCATGAAGACTGGGAAGCCACCGACCAGCAAGTTCTGGGGTACCTTCTCTCGTCGCTGACAAGAGAGGTGCTGATGCAGGTCGCTACATGCGACACCGCGGCTGAAGTGTGGAGCGCCATCGAGCAGATGTACTCCACCCACACACGAGCAAGAGCGATTAACACTCGGTTTGCTCTCACCAATACAAAGAAAGGTAACATGTCAACTCCTGAGTATTTTGCAAAAATGAAATCCTTAGGAGATGAGATGGCTACTGCCGGAGGTCGCCCGATCGATGAAGAGGAGCTGATTCAGTATATCATCACCGGCCTTGGCGAGGGCTACAGCGAGGTGGTGTCGGCTGTCTGCGCTCGGGTTGAACCAATCTCTGTGAGTGATCTGTACTCTCAAGTGTTGAACTTTGAAGCTCGCCAAGCCATCTACCGCGGCGCACAGGAGGTCACCGTCAATGTTGCCAACCGTGGAGGCTTCAGCCACGGGGGGCGTGGCAACAGCAATGGTGGCCAAGGAGGTTCGCGCGGCGGCGGCGGCGGCGGCCATGGTCGCGGCAACGGAGGAGGTGGCCGTGGTCGAGGCCGCACACCAGGAGGCGTTGATAAAAGACCAATCTGCCAAGTGTGTTTCAAACGGGGGCACACGGCAGCAGATTGTTGGTATAGGTACGACGAGGATTACGTTCCTGACGCCAAGCATGTTGCAGCTGCAGCGGTTAACTCCTATGGAGTTGACACAAATTGGTACATCGACACTGGTGCTACAGATCATGTCACGGGAGAGCTGGACAAGCTCACTATGAAGGAAAAATACAACGGTGGTGAACAAATCCACACAGCAAGTGGTGCAGGTATGGATATTAGTCATATTGGTCATGCTATTGTTCATAATCCCAATAGTCGTAATATCCACCTTAGAAATGTTTTATATGTGCCTCAAGCTAAGAAAAATCTTGTTTCAGTACATCGCTTAGTTAATGATAACTCTGCCTTTCTTGAATTACATCGTGATTATTTCTTTCTTAAGGATCAAATCACCAGGAAAAACTCTCCTTAAGGGAAGATCATGGCGCAGGCTATATCCTCTACCACACTCCTCCTTGAAGCAAGCCTACAGTGCCATCAAACTATCTTTGGACCGGTGGCATCATCGTCTTGGTCATCCTTCCATTACCACGGTTAAACAAGTAGTCAATAAGTTTAGCCTCCCCTGTTCAGATTTGTCTAGTGAGTCAGTTTGTAATGCTTGTCAACAAGCAAAGAGTCATCAATTACCTTTTCCTATTTCTTCCAGTGTTTCCAAACACCCCTTAGAACTTGTCTTTTCTGATGTTTGGGGACCTGCTCCAGAGTCTGTTGGGAGAAAAAAATATTATGTTAGTTTTATTGATGATTTTAGTAAATTTACTTGGATTTATCTCATACAGCATAAGTCTCAAGTGTTTGACAAGTTTCAGGAGTTTCAAGTCATGGTAGAACGTCAATTTGATAGAAAAATTCTAGCCATGCAAACTGACTGGGGAGGCGAATATCAATCCCTTAACTCTTTTTTTTCTAAGATTGGCATTGTTCATCATGTTTCCTGTCCTCATACTCACCAACAGAATGGGTCGGCTGAGAGAAAACATCGTCATATAGTTGAGATCGGTTTATCTCTCCTATCTCATGCATCCATGCCATTAAAGTTTTGGGATGAAGCCTTTCAGGCGGCAACTTATCTTATTAACCGTGTGCCTAGCAGAGTTATCCATAATATTAGTCCCCTTGAAAAACTGTTCAAACAAAAACCCGATTACTCCTCCTTGAGAATTTTTGGTTGTGCCTGTTGGCCTAATCTTCGCCCCTACAATAACCACAAATTACAATTTCGCTCTAAGCGTTGTGTTTTTCTTGGGTTTAGCACTATGCATAAAGGGTTAAAGTGTCTTGAGGTCTCTACAGGACACATCTATATTTCTCGCGATGTTGTCTTTGATGAGAATATTTTTCCCTTCACTGAACTTCATGCCAATGCTAGTGCCCGTCTTCGTTCTGAGATTGATATTCTCACTCCTGAACTGCTAGGACCCATACGGTCTGTTGGGAATGAACAATGCATGCATCCAGTGACTAATCCATTATCTGCTGATGTTTCTGCTGCTTTATCTAATCGTGCTAATGAGCCACATAGAGATGGTGCAGTACATCCCGCTGATGCAGAAGATCCGCCGGCGACGCCTCCTCTGGATGCCAGTTTTGGTCCAGAACCAGACCGTGTCGTCCACCACTCCCCTGCGGCCACGTCATCAGGCCGTCATCCGGGTCCCACACCTGGTTCTGTGCCACGGGGGGTAGCATCATCGCTAGCAGAGGAGACAGCAGAAGACTCAGTGTCGCAGGCGGTGCAGGAGCAGGAGTCGCAGGTGGTGCAGGAGCAGGAGCAGTCCTCACCAGCGCAGGAACATGCACAGGCTGTCACAGATGAGACTAATACATTACAGCATGCAGATGTGACTGACACAGGTTCAGAGGCACCGGCAGGACCGCGCACCAGGTTGCAAAGTGGAGTTCGCAAAGAAAAGGTATATACTGATGGTACTATTAAATATAAGCATTCTTGGTTTACTGCTTCAGGTGAACCTACAAATGATTTAGAAGCCTTAAAGGATAAAAATTGGAAACTAGCAATGGATTCAGAGTATGATGCTTTAGTTAAGAATAAAACTTGGCATCTTGTTCCTCCTCAGAGAGGGAGAAATATTATTGGCTGTAAGTGGGTGTATAAAATTAAAAGGAAAGCTGATGGTACCCTAGATAGGTATAAGGCAAGGTTAGTAGCAAAAGGATTTAAACAGAGGTATGGTATTGATTATGAAGATACCTTTAGCCCTGTTGTTAAAGCTGCCACTATCAGAATAATATTGTCTTTAGCAGTGTCTAAAGGTTGGAGTCTTAGACAGCTAGATGTTCAAAATGCCTTTCTGCATGGGTACCTAGAAGAAGAAGTTTATATGCTACAGCCACCAGGTTTTGAGGATCCTACTAAGCCACATCATGTGTGTAAACTTGATAAAGCTCTATATGGGTTAAAACAGGCACCTAGAGCCTGGTTCTCTAGACTAAGTAAAAAGTTGATGGACCTTGGTTTTAAAGGATCAAAAGCTGATACGTCTCTGTTCTTTCTGAATAAAGGTGATATAACTATGTTTGTTCTGGTATATGTTGATGATATCATTGTAGCCAGCTCTTCAGAGAAGGCCACTGCAGCTTTACTTCAGAATCTAAAAGGGGAATTTGCACTCAAAGATCTTGGTGAGCTGCATTATTTTCTCGGAATAGAGGTAAGCAAGGTTCAGAATGGCATTGTACTGAATCAAGACAAGTATGCCAATGATTTATTGAAGAAAGTGGGCATGATAGATTGTAAACCTGCTAATACACCTCTTTCAGTAAGTGAGAAACTCTCTCTTCATGAAGGCTCATTGTTAGGGCCTGAAGATGCAAGTCACTATCGCAGTGTTGTTGGTGCTTTGCAATATTTGACTCTTACTAGACCTGACATAGCTTTCTCTGTTAATAAAGTTTGCCAATTCTTGCATGCTCCCACAACTGTACATTGGATTGCTGTGAAAAGGATTCTTAGGTACTTAAAGCAATGCACTCGGTTAGGACTTGAAATTCATAAGTCAGGATCTACTTTAGTTAGTGGCTTCTCTGATGCAGACTGGGCAGGCTGTTTAGATGACAGAAGATCAACAGGAGGATTTGCAATATTTCTGGGTTCAAATCTGGTCTCCTGGAATGCTAGAAAACAAGCCACTGTGTCTAGATCTAGCACAGAGTCAGAATACAAAGCTATTGCCAATGCCACTGCAGAAATAATGTGGGTGCAGACTTTACTTGCAGAGTTAGAGATTAAAAGTCCAAAAGCTGCTAAAATATGGTGTGATAATCTTGGAGCTAAGTATTTGTCAGCTAATCCAGTGTTTCATGCCAGAACGAAACACATAGAAGTTGACTATCACTTTGTCAGAGAACGGGTAAGTCAGAAACTTCTAGAAATTGATTTTGTTTCCACTAATGATCAAGTTGTAGATGGATTCACTAAACCTCTGTCAGTAAGACTCCTGGAGAATTTCAAAAGCAATCTGAACCTGGTTAGGTCCGGATTGAGAGAGGGTGTTAGTTAGCATGAAAGGTTCGGATCATGTGATGACGACCTGATAGCTTGCATGCATGTAGTTGTTAAGGTTAGTTTGGATTAGGTTAGTCTATCCATGCGGATCAGGTTAGCCTTTCCTCCACATGCGATAACAGATGTTTGTTAGAGTTTGTTTTCTGTTTTCTGTTACTGCATGCAGTCGTTTCATCAATCTCGGCTTCGGTTGTTCTCAGCTGCGCCGAACTCTGTATCGCCACGATGGGGGCTGTTCCCATCACATATATATTAACACGAAGGCGACGCACAGGATTAGTGCGATCGTTTCCACCCAAACTAATTCACAGACCGAGCTAAACAAAGCCGGTGTGTCACCGTTGTACTTGGCAGTGATGAGCAGGTCAGTGCCTGCCGTAAGAGCAATAGTTACTACCTGCAGCGACGCATCACCCGTTGGGCCGAGCTCCCAGAATGCTCTGCATGCTGCCGTCTTCCGAAGCTTAGGTAAGATATCGGCTCATGTTGATTCGGCAGATCTCAAGCACAAAACAAGAATGTGTTTGTCAACTCGATTGATAAATTTGTGTCTTTGGCAGAGATGGTTCACTTATTATTGCAATGGAAGCCAGAACTGGCTAGCCAGGTCGACTGCAATGGCAGCACCCCACTCCATTTCGCGGCATCCGACGGCAACCGCAAAATCGTACATGCAATCCTAGCCATCGTGCCAACTGGCACAGTGTACATGAAGGACTCGGATGGCCTCTCCGCTCTTCATGTCGCGGCTAGGTTGGGACATGCCAATGTTGTCAAGCAACTAATTGGGATCTGCCCTGATGCTGTTGAGCTCCGTGACGGCCATGGAGAGACCTTCCTGCACACCGCGGTCAGGGAGAAGCAGTCCTCGATCGTGTCCCTCGCTATCAAGAAACACAAGCAGGTCGGTGGCCTTCTGGACGCGCAGGACGGGGTTGGGAACACGCCGCTCCACATCGCCGTGGTTGCCGGCTCGCCTGACATTGTGAATGCCTTACTCCATAAGGGGAAAGTGCAAAGCGATGTCTTGAACGACGATGGACACTCGCCGCTTGATCTCGCTTCGACATCGACCAATTTGTTCAACATGGTGAGCAATAACCAAATATGTGCAAGCATTAAATGGTTCAATACATCTTGACTTAGAAGTTTGGTATGATTGATCTTCATTAGAAAAAAAACACTTACATATATGAGGCTTGTCAGAGATGTTGACCACCACATGTACTGACAGGCCTCCACTCGTTAGAAATTAGGTGGAGTCATAACTGACCACTATTTTTTGACGAAACCCAAACACATCAGAGATGATGGCATGGGCCCTCAGCTTAATGGTATATATTCATGGTGTGCATGCAATGCAGGTAAGCTTTGTGGTGATATTAGTTGCTTTTGGGGCACAAGGCCGACCACAAAGGAATGACCATCTAAAGCCGTGGAGCGGCCGCGACATAGGTAAAGGGATAGAGAGGACAACTGACAGCCTTGCGGTGGTGGCCGTGCTCATCGCCACCGTCGCCTTTGCCGCCGGATTCAACATGCCAGGCAGCTACGGAGACGACGGCACGGCGAACCTCAAGGGCAGGTTCTCATTCAAATGGTTCATGGTCCTCGACACCGTCGCCGTAGCGGCATCGGTGGTCGCCGTGATCCTACTCGTCTACGGGAAGGCATCGCGCTCCGCCGGCTCGTGGAAGAGCTTCGTGGCGGCGTTGCACTTTATCTGGGTCTCGCTCGTCAGCCTGATCCTGGCCTTCTTTGCGGCTTTTCGCGCCACGATGAGAACCTCGAGGGCAGTCTCCATCGTGTTCATGGTTATCTACGTGTGCCTCATCGTTTTGGTTGTCAATGTCGGAACATGGGTTGAACCTGTAACGACGATGCGTATATTCTGGAGGTTTGTGTGGCGCAGTCACCGGACTAATGCCGTCAAGAGGCAGTATCCATTGGCCGTCGCTACCGTCTACAACTGTCTTCTCTTTTCGGTTATAAATTTTATAATATTTGCCGGTTTGGGAGTGGTACCGTCCTAGTTGGAGTGGGGAGGATTATCAAGCTGGCACCTAGACAATATCTCATCTGCACCTGCACCACTGTAATTAATTAAGCTCACATATTAGTGATATAATATCGAGAATAAAATCATTGATATAAGAAGCACAACGGCGACCGATTTGATGTCAGTGCTTTTATTGGGGATGTGTTATTAGCTGCTAGCGTGTGGTGATACGATTTATCTTTTTTCTGGTTATATCCTTTTAGGGTTATAACCTTGTAATTTCTTCTCCTGCTGTATTGATATAGAACTTCACATCGTCTTTGTAAAATCAAAGTGTGTTTTTGATTATTAATTTATGATGAACAGTTGGCGTGACATGTAATTTATTTTGATATTTGATAATTATGACAAAGTGGTGCTCTCTGTGTGGAGCCAGTTAGACCGGACACGGGTAGACCGGTCAGACCAGCGTAGTACGTGAGGTCTGACAGGCCAACCGGATGGTCTGATCGGCTGGATCCTAATTGGGGTTAGTTTCGGGTTGTTCATTTGGATACTCATAACTATCTTGTGGTTATGACTTCTAGATGATTTCTATACGTGTGTAGTACTGTTGTGTGCTAATGTAGAGCAAGTTGGGAAAGAACTTATGCTCGGATATGGTTTATTGTTTGGTTCATATATATAGGTGTACCTTGATGCCTTAGGAGAGCGTTGTCGGTGATGAATTGGAAGTCAAGTTGAGATAAGATGACGCCCGATCAGTCGAGATATCATGCGGTATGCTTAGGATAAAGAACAATGCAAATTATTGATGGAGATTTCATACGACATATTGATGGGAGATCGTGCGCATATGGAAAAAAAAGTCAATTTTGAAAGGAGTCCAAATTTGGAAAGATTAGAATTCGAATGATGAAATAAATTTGTTTTTTATACGGGAAAGTTTCCTAGTGGATTAAAACATCTTGTACAAGTTAGATTCGTGATTTTAGGCTACCAACCTCGGACATAAATAGTGAGAGGGTTGAGGCCTACCGGTATGGATTTTGTGAAAATTAAGTTTAGAGAAAAGTTAGAATTTCGAGTTTAGTCGAATTTAGTGTGAGGAGTAATGTTGTTATATTTTGTAGCGTGAGGAGTAATGTTGTTATATTTTGTAGCGTGAGGAGTAATGTTGTTATATTTTGTTAACACAAATAAAAGTAATAAAGTTCAATCTACTTTTAAAAGGTCTTCAATTAATGTTTTTATGGTGGCAGTCTCACACCGGCAGGATGCCGGTAGTCAGACTGATGGCACCACAGCGGTTGGACCGAAGGCGGTGGCAGGTGACAGCAAGGCGAAGGGCGGTCAGACCATCTGATCTTCTTTTGGCCAAACCGGTGACATCTGCATGGTCAAACTGGCGATCAGTATTCCAAACCGCACTCTACTCTTCTTTGAATTACATGCAAGAGTCAGCACCACAAAATTCCAAACCGCGCATGAATCAACCATATAAATAAACAAGCAATATAATCATACTATTCATTACAACACCAATTTAAGTTAACTGCAAAAATATAGAGAGAAATGTTTTTCTCTCTACCTGAACTTGTTAGGTTAGTGCAGGAGCCAGCTTTTCTTGGTAGCGGCGTTGGCCTCACCGATCTATCAGCCGCTGCAGGTATCGCCACTCGCCATATTGGTCGGGCCGTAACGCATCAACCACCGCTGACGTGTTGGCCGTCACTACTCACTATCACTATGTCTCACTGAACAGCAGATCAAGATTCAGTTGGCCCGAGTTGGATCGACACCAATCATGACGTTACAAAATTAGAAAAAGTCCACTTTAGGTGATTAGGTCTCTTAACCGTAAAACAGGTATTTAACATCCTCTAATTTTTAAAACCAGTGTAAATCAAGTTTCTCAGCGGTTTGGAAGACGGTATCGTCCTACGTGGTGTCTACATAGCATCATTAAAAAAAAATCAATGGGACCCACATATCATTGATATCATCCCTTCTTCCTCTACATCCTCTCTTCCCCATATCATTTTGCTCGGCGCATTAACATTTTTTTTAGATAATGGAATTTAACATCCCAGCCTTTGCTCAAAAAGAGCTACAGCCAATTATTACATTGTAGCAATCCAGAAAAGAGCATAGTTCGGCTAAATAGGACACACCAAACAAAAACAGAGGAAACCAAGCCAAAATAAGGAGAACACATTTATTGAAATATATTTGTGAACCTCCATCCATAATTGGCAAATAGTTGCATAACCATCGACTCCAACTTGCGGCATGCAACCTTTAGGAACTCCCCATCATCCTCACACATTTGTAGCTGTACCCAAAACCAGAGTCAGTGCGTTGCTCGGCGCATTAACATGGGAGAGCGTTGAGGGGAACCGGCAGGAATGAGCGAGTCAACGGATCAATTCATGGAGGTTCTTCACCTCCTCATCCAACTCGTCGTTTAATTTGCTGCACCGGCGAAGGAAAGGAGAACCCTGCGGCCACGTTACAGAGGCTACACCGCAGTGATTGCTATAGGTCGTGGCAGATGCGCCACTGCTCTACCTTCAACTGTCTTTCTCTTGCCACTGCAATGGCCTCAACCTTCTCCTCTCTCTTGTGACCGCTGCTCCCTTTCCCATGCCGACGTTGCCAAAGAAGAAGAGATGAGGATCGCGAGAGAGACAAAGGAGGCAGATGAGGAATAAGGGGTGATGCCATTGACATGTGGATCACACTGTTCTTTTATTAATTATTATAAATGCTATGCACATGCCACGTTAATGATGACAAAGTCAAAATACCATCTGGATGTCACTTAGAATGAAACCATCGTCTAAAACTGCCAAGAGATTCATATGTCACTTATTTTAAAAGTTAGGGGACACGCTATACCAGGTTTTGTGATTGAGGGCTACGAATTATAATCTGTAAAGTGCACTTTTCCCTACAAAATTCGGGTGGTTATGTTCGATAGCTGACATGGTACATATTCAAAATTAAGTTGGGCCGAGTTGGGTTACTACCATGGAGCGATCCAAAATTTGATGGGCCTAAATGTACCGAGTTAGTTGTCAGTGTAATGGGCCATTGGGCCAGATCGACTCGGGACTTTGCTGGGTCAACACGCCGTTATCCACCACACAATCGGCGGAAGGACCGAATAGTCGCCGCCGGCCACCGGCCACCGGCCACCGTGAAACCAACGAGCAAACGGCGGCGCCTCCAGAGAGATCGGGAGAGAGAGAGAGAGAGAGAGAGAGAGAGAGGGGTTCGGCCATGGAGACGAGCAGCAGCCGGGGACGGAGCGGGAGCGCGGGATTGAAGCGCCGCAGGGGCCCCGGCGGCGGCGGCGGCGGGTCGGGGTCGACGGCGCAGGCGCTGAACGACGACACCCTCCGCTCCGTCTTCTCCCGCCTCGACGACCACTTCGACCTCGCCCGCTGCTCCACCGTCTGCAACTCATGGTTCGTCCCATCCGCCGCGCGAATCGTCTCCTCTCCCCTCCTCACTCCCATGTTCCCCCTCCTACTGCTACCACGCACGCTGTGTGTTTGTGTTTGGGTTTCGCTGGGGATGTTTATTTTTTGCTCTAATTTACAGTACAATACGGCAGGTATCTACTACTACGAGATTAGAAGAAATAGCCTCAATTACTACTCTGCTGTCGCATTGCATTGAACTCTGCTGCCTGGATTTTATGCCTAGAGGTTGCAGGATAAGTGGATAACTATGAAGCATGTCCCAATACTCCGGGTCTGCGGTTTTCCTTTTTTCCTTAAATGGTATATATATATGCTTCAAAGTAACTGTTGCTTAGAACACTGAATGACTAGTCAAATTGATGAGTTTTCGTCATGGTAACATTTGTTGAAGATGCATTTAACCTCTCATTTGTTTGTTATCTGCATCTTAACCATGTACCTCTGGGGAGCTAATCAGTGTTGTGTGTTTCTTCTTTGGATATTCATACTCTGTCCAGTGGTTTGTGACTTGACTGCTAAATTAGCGCTGTTTCTGGTTTCCAGCTACCATTTTCTGTCCTGACAACTATGCCAATTATGCTGCTAATCATTTTAGTTTGGATATTATTCATACTCTGTCCAGTAGTTCGTGACTTGACTATTAATTCAGTGATTCAGTGTTATTCTGGTTTCCAGCTACCATTTTCCATACTGACAAATACATTTATGGTGCTAATCATTTTAGTTTCATTTGGTAATTTTATTCATGCATGTTTCTCGTCTATGCCGCCAGATCTTCCTTGTGAAAATTCCAAAGTTACCAAGCAATTTATCAGTTGTTATTAAAATTTGTACGTACTTATTCTACTCTGCTTGGTTTATAGGAATAGAGTTATTGACACAGCTCATCTGATGAGGGATCTATATTACAAGAGGAATCCACAAGCAAGAAGTTCAGGGTCTAATACTTCAATAAAGAGTTACTTCAAGGAGCTTGCACTTGATGAACATGCATCGTCTTTCTCTAGAGGTCCTGCTGAAGTTTATCAGTGGATTGGTCATCCTAACCAGTAAGCCTGTAGCCCTGTACTATGCTGAGCTTCTGTATTTAGGCTGTTTCTTGTGCATAGTGAATTAGTTATATCAACTAAAAGAGTTCTCGTGTTCTCAAACATTTTCTTTTTAGTTTTTTCATATTGTTCGATTTGATCAAGTATCTTCTTTTCTGGAGCTGCACTGTTGGGATTGTGGCTCAATATCCACATTTTTTTCTTTCAGTTTTCTATTTCTTGTTTCAGGGCCACCATATGCCGCATGAAGAGTGGTTCAATCTTAACTGGAGTTGGAGATAAGGTGAGCCTTGCATCATGTGCCGTTCTTATTATCCTTCATCAATGTGAAATGGCTGTTTTTTGAAATAAAAAAGTAAGATGTAACAGGCACAAATAATTAATGTTTGTACTAGTACAATAATAATTTTTGTGCTTTAGACCTTTTTGGTAGGTCCTTTTAGCAAAAAGAAATGTAGTGATGTAGTATACAAAAAAAAAGTTATATTTATATTTGTTTTTTAAAAAATAGGGGTATGGTCAATGGCCTTCCACTCTCGCTATTCAGGTGATGCTATAGTAGTGCAGAATGCCAGATGAAACATGACATGACATGATTGTGGAAACCATGGCTGCCTGAGTACATTGCGAAGTTTTTAGATAATTGAAAGCATGATTGAAGATTTTTAGTGCTTACTGCTTTTTTTTTTAATTTTGTTTAATACCGTCACAGATCTTATAATCATGCTGATCATCTTGGCATTTGATTTTTGCCAGACTCTCCGACTTTGGTCTGCTGAAAGTTGCAAATACATGAATGAGTACATTGTTCCAAGTTCTAAAATGCTGGTCAACTTTGATTTTGATGAAAATAAGGTAATCGATGTTGGTAGCTTTCAGTACTTCTGTTCTTAATTTCTAGCTGCTACTAGCTTTGTCCTTATGCATTTGACAGGAAGGGCTATAATTGATTCTTGCTTCAGTAAAAGTTCCATATGAAATTCCAAGTGTTCTGTAACTATGTACAAGAAGGCCTATTTGTAGTAGCTCACCTATATGTCAGAAGCTCCAGCCACATATTTAAACATCTTATTTGTGCAGATATAAGCATTTGATCTCCTTTGCCTTAGTGCTATGTTTCTTTTTCGAATGTGAATGGAAACTGCAAAATAGACTATTTATGCTATTGATCCTTACAAGTATTATTAATATAACATTTGAAGCAATTCGATTATATATTAGTGAGATTCAACAAGCATAATGAGAATGATTGCTTAGTTGCTGACTCTTGTAGGTGCATTTTTCCCCCCCACGATAGTGGTCAACATATGGGAAAATGGTGTGCATATAAAACTGGAGATGGTTATGGTCTCATTAGAAACACCAGCTGTGCTTTGTCCTGGAAATCTTTGTAGGTTGGGATTTTTACCATTATGTGCATTAGGTTGCACATAAGTAGTCTTGGATGTTCTATATTATCATCTTCAGCTTAATAACATTGGCTGAATTGGTGATTCTAATAGTTGTATATTGTATAAACTTTTCTATTCATCATGGAGATGCAGTAAACCAGGTTCAAACAACTTTGATTTAAGTTATGAACCACACCATATCTATAGACTTATTATTTACATGTTATAAAATTCCAATCCTCTGTGAAGATTGTAGGTTTGACTAGCTCCCAGCTTTGCATATGGAGACGTAGTGAGCCGAGAAGTATTTTTCAATCTCGTGGAGCCTCATTCAACCGTGGCTTATGTATGAGGTGAGGAACATGCTTTAAGTTTGTAAAATGACATGCCTTTTGTTTCGAACAAATGAAAAGTTAGATGTTACATATACTACTGAAATTACTGAATTGCTCATGAAAGCATGTAATCTCAGAGGCACAGGATTATTGCGTAGGGTCGTGTGCTGTCCAAACGTTTTATGATAAAGATTTTGTTAGCTTTAACCCCCAATGCTCATTTGTTTCCACTTTCCACAGTTATGCCGATCCAGAGGTTATAATTGGTTGTGAGGATGGTAGAGCATTTGTATATGATATGTACAGCAGGAGTTGCTCAAGCATCTACCGGTGAGTACACAGAAACATAACATATGAATACGGTTCCTTTCAGTTGTTTGATTCTTATCATCAAACTGCAATATAAGCTTTAGTTCACTTCTGAGGAATTATATAATTTGATATAAGTATATAACCTTACCTAATAACCATTTCAGCTGGTATAATTTCGTCTTGTTTATCAATGCATGTCTGCACCTCATGAAGTTTTTTCCCCTTGAATGTTTTACATAGTTTTAAAGTCAAATGAGATTGTGCTGAGGTTTAGAATCTTCCTTCTAAAGGTGTATCTAATTTGATATTTATATGGGCCTCTAGTGGATGCAGAAAAGTTGAGAAGCAACACTTATTTGGATACAATTGATCTTTGAGAATGACATAGTGTACATATTTAAGAAATTTTTGAAGGATTAATAATTACAAATGCAGAAAAAAAGAGACAATTTTGCCCCTGTGATGTACAGTTCTGCATTCTATATTAGTATGTCCTGCAGCTGATGCCTATTTAACTGTGTTATACAGGCTTCACTCTTCTCCCTTGACATGCTTGACAATAACAGATGACCAGCTCATTGCTGCTGGTTCTACATTTGGAAATGTAGCTATTGCAGATCAAACCTCTGGACAAAAGTTAGGTGTTCTGAAATCAGCTTTTGCACCAACAGGTAACCAACCCCTCAGCTGATCCTGAATAAGCATGATGGACTGCCAATTGCTGATGATTGATGGGGATTGGGGATGTTCTTGGTCTCTTCATCTCTTTCCATGTTGAAAATGTTCAAATGTATCAGTTTCAAAAAAAAAAAGTCCAAATGAATTGACATACCATGACAAAAAACATTTTCATTTACCATAAAGAGAATAATACACCTGCAGCATAATGCTTGTTCAACAGAAGTTTGAACAGAAATGATGACTTGCATATTAAGTTAATGCATGGTTATGCAGTGTCCCCTTTCTTCCCTCTAAAAGGTTGGCTTCCATTAAAAAGAATAGCATTGTTCTAGAAAAATGGCAGGATGCTGAGTGACAATCTTATCCAACTCTTTTTTTCTTGTTTGGCAATTTCTTTAGTTATGTTGTTCTTTATAAAAATCATGCCTTATAATCTCGTCTCAGTTCGATGAAGAACTATATCTAAGATTTTACTGGCAGTATTTGTCCTTGTTAAATCTTTGTAAATAAAAGGCACCAATGATGATCCATTTCAGTATGTTAGATATTTAGTGCTGTGAGCTTAATCAATACTAAGCTAATTTCATGTTTTCTAATGATTTCAGCAATAAGATGCTTGTCATTCAGCACAAGTGGCCATTTGATATTCGCGGGCTCATCTGCTGGTTATGCGCACTGCTGGGACTTGAGGTCGGTATCGTAAGATGATAGAATTTAGTAATTTACTATCATTGAGCTGTCTGGTCTGTGTAATAACTGAAGCTCTCTCCTCTGGAGTTATAGAACAAATCATGAACATTGAAGTATTGTTTTTTAAACATTTTATTTAGTTTGAGACTTTCAGTAGAGTGAACTTGAATAGAGAGATGCATGGCCTATATAAACCATTTGCCTTTGTCTGTACTCCATAGTCCATACCTGCCATGATCTTTCAGGAGTATGTGTGTGCAAAACTTCTATTAGTTTACAAGTATTAGTTTACATCCTACCTGTCATTATTTATCACAGAAGAGATTAGTTAAAGAGTTCAGATTACTTTAACATTCTAGAACAACTGACAATTATTAAGTTATCTTTTGAAATATACTATGAAGTTTATCATTTTTAGAATCTTTTCTCATTTTCACTTTCGTGATGCTTATGGAGTCTGTAATTATTTTACATTGCTTTTAGTTCGTGCATGGCAAGAATATTGGCACACTTATAGTACTAAACTGCTAATGGTGTACCACAGTAAGTCATAGCTGTGATCTCCATTAGAGCCATACTTATATTCTCTGTTATTCGTGCTCAGGACCCTGAGGCCTCTCTGGGAAAAGAGAGTTAGCCCAAATGTCATCTACAGCGCACATCACTTGCCAGGTGACACAGCAACACTGGCAGTCGGCGGTATTGACGGTGTGCTTCGCTTGATATGCCAAAGAACCGGTGAAACCATCCGAAGTTTCATAGTTAATGCAGACCGCCCAGCAGCATCCAGTTCCCATCAGCAAGTCGAAAAGAAAAGCGTCCGCCAGGTTGCTCCAAATGCGCGGCTTGACAACATCCCCACACGCCTGCGCCCTCAGATCACTTGCCTGGCAGTAGGCATGAAGAAAATTGTGACCACACATGGCGAAAACTACATCCGTGTCTGGAAGTTTCGCCCGAAGAGTTCTTAGAATGATCATCCGGAGCCAGACACTTTGTTATGATGCTTAACGACCCCCCTTTTTGTAAAATTAGACGAAAATATGTTCTGCATCTGTCAATGCCAGATAGTATGCCATGCTGTTGTGTTGTGCAAAAATATTTGTTGTATCAGGAGTTATGTTGAATTAATCTCATACCTTTACAAATTATTGTTGGTTGTTTCAGTTCTCACAGGATACTCAAGTTGTAGGTGCACTCAAATATCAATATTAGCAGGTTCTTTTTTTCATTTTGAGTGGAGGATTAGAAGGTTCCTTAAACTGGTGGCTTGCCACACTAACAGTACGATTTCTCAAAAGACTTTTTCCTACTGCATTGTATTGATTATATGATCATGATGTTAAGATATATGCTAAGTTTGTTTTTTAAATATTAATATATCGTGTCAAGTAGATTATCCATTTCATTTGATCCCTATTTCATCAACTTCCTCCTGCTTGCTAGCTCACACTATTGCCGCACTGCCTACGTACTCATTCCCTAGGCTGGCCTGATTCATATATACCTAACAGAAGAGATCTGTTATCTTATCTAACCCGTGGAAATAAAATACTAATCTCGTGGAAATAACATAATCATCAGCTGATAACCCCTCTACCCTCATCTCTTTTCACAGTTTTTAAAATTTTTTTCTGGCTACTCAGAGTGGCGACACGTCTTTTTTTCTTTATGTCTATGTCTTCTCGTGTTAAGGCCCTGTTTAATTTGCAAAAAGAAAATTTTTGGTGTCACATCAGATGTTTGATTGGATGTTAGAGGGGGTTTTCGGACACGAATGAAAAAAACTAATTTCATAACTCGCCTGAAAACTAGGAGACGAATCTTTTGAGCCTAATTAAGCCGTCATTAGCACACGTGGGTAGTAAGTAGCACTTTATGGCTAATCATGGACTAATTAAGCTCAAAAGATTTATCTCACGATTATAAAGTTTACATAAAAATCTTTATATTTATGAAAATACAATGCGAAGAAAAAAATTTGTTTTTGAGGACTGCACTGTAATCGCGAAAAGTATCATTCTTAGAAAAAAACGGACTTGCTAAAAAGATGTCGACACTTTTTGGGGCTGATCTCAGTCGGCTTTGCTATCCGTCTGATCGCTAAACGTCTTCGGCTGTGCCTGTTCGGACCGTTCGATTTCTTCTCTTGATCATCTCCTAGCTAGAACGTTAGGACTGCATATGCTTTTGCATTTTATCTTTTACAATGTAAGATTTAAATTTATAAATTTACATGGTAGTTACACCCCACTTACACACCACTTATATATGCAATTAGTATGTAATTTTAGGATTTACATATGTAATTTTAGAACTTACATTGTAAATACACTAAAATTACATATGTAATTTAGGGACTTACAATGTAAATACATACCGACTAATTTTTGGTAAAAAATATGGCGCCACAAACATAGCTACTCCCGAAAAAAACACATTAATCACACCACCTGCTGGGCTGTCTATCTCTCCCTCGAGACCAGAAAAATCTCGCTCCCATCCATGCCTCTGTCGCCGTCGTCCTTCACCGCTCACCCTCGGCGCTGTCCTTCGCTGATGCTGCGGCCCTTTGCCAGTGGCATCGCCCCCGACTCCATTGTCTACCTCTGGCGTCGCCCTCAATGTCGTCCTTCTGGTGTCGCCCATCCACACCCCAGCCCCTAACTCGAGCCCTCCTCTAGTCCTCTTCCTGGCGTCGCTCCTTGTTCCCCTCTCCTTGCAGAACCGACAACACCTCCCTAACCTCCTCCAACAAACGGACACGGACGGCAGGGACCCAATGTTTTAAATAGCGGGCTAAAACATTTAGCGGATAGCTCCTCAAACAGCTATAGCGGGCTAAATAAAACTATAGCAGCTAAATTATATATGAGAACAAATAATTAGAATCCTTCTCAAATAATTACATAAGATAGGGCAGCTATAGTGAGAGATTTGAAACCCTGCAGGGACCCCTCCAACGGGTGTTTAATTACCACAGTAGCTCCTCAAAAAGCCCAGGTTCTACGTATACTGCATGCATGTGAATTGCATCGGTCGATGCATGCTGCCAAGAGTGTTTTTTCGCTCATGATCAAGACGAAGAGTAGTTCACCTATGGCCGGGGGCCGGCCATGGGACCCAAGAGATCGAGTGTTGCTTGAGAGTTACGAAGATAAGCGCAAGACCAGATGCCTAGTACGAAGAAAATTAAGGGAAAGTAAAGTACGAAAGAATAGCCTAGACATGAAAAATCGGAATAATTAACTATTTACCACTTTTACTATTTTTACTAGTGCTTCTAAAGGATTTGCCACTAAACCCACATGTCATAGACACATGAGGGGCCACATATCATAGACAACGAGTGGCAAATCCTTAATCACCATATCTTAAAAGTGGCAAATGGTTAAATGTCTCGGAAAAAATCTGCCTTTGGAAACGATGTACTGTGAGCACTCAGGCCATCCCCAATACATGTCCCTGGAGCATAGCCCTGTTCACCCCATCGAGCAAACGTCGCTTTTCCGGCCGGAGCCATCTCCCAGCAGAAGGTCGTGACTCCTCTGCGAGGCACGCGCCTCCCTGTGCTCCTCCGCTCCTTTTCGTGGAGCTGTGAGCCATGGTCCTTGTTCCGGCACATGCATTTTCTCCTTCTACCCTCGGTCTCATCCGTGGGGAGGAGCCGGAGTAGACGGCACGGTGGTGAAGCTCCGAGCCGGCGGTGCGGTGGGGAGGAGTTGGAGACGGCAGGGTGGTGGAGCTCCATGGAACGAGTCGGCGACGTGGTGGGGAGATCTAGCTTGTGTCGTGGACGGCGACGGGCGGTGGGAGAGAGAAGTGGCGACGAGCTGGGGACGACGCAGCCCACTAGATCCAGCTTCCAGCATGATGGACAACAATGGGCAGTGGGAGAGAGAGGCGGTGGCGACCTGGGGACGGCGCTGGCCCACTAGATCTGGCTGCCGGCGTGCTAGATCTAGGAGAGAGAGGCGGTGAAGAGGAGCTTCGTCAACAACGACAAGGGAGAGAGAGAGGAGCGGAAGGAGGGGCAGGCGGAGACGGGTGAAGGGGCGGGTGGTGACAATTGGGTCAACGACGAACGGAGAGAGAGATAAGCAGGAGGAGGAACCGGAGGCGACGGGTGGAGGGGCGACGATGGGGTCGGAGCAGCAAACAAAAAGGGATGATGAGGGAGAAGCTGGGCAGTCGGTGGGCTAGGGGTAGGGAAGGAAAAACATACATGTGGCTTCGTGGGCTAGAGCACGACCGTTGTGGACTAGAATACCTCCACTGTTACCTTAGATTTGGTAGGGCTGGTTAGGGCTGGTTGGAGTACCCTCCATTGAAAGATGCGTGTCTAATGAGGCCCAGTTTAGTTTCCAAAAAGTTTTTCCCAAAAACATCACATCGAATCTTTGGATACATGCATGAAGTATTAAATATAGATAAAATAAAAACTATTTGCGCAGTTAGGGGGAAAAAGCGAGACGAATCTTTTGAGCCTAATCAGTTCATGATTAATCATAAGTGCTACAGTAACCCACATGTGCTAATGATAGATTAATTAGACTCAAAAGATTCATCTCGCGGTTTCTAGGCGAGTTATGAAATTAGTTTTTTTATTCGTGTCAAAAATCTCTTCTGACATTCGGTCAAACGTTCGATATATATAACACCTAAAAATTTTCTTTTCGCGAACTAAACAGGGCCTGAGTACCTAAGTCCACCTATAGTTCACTTGATGATACTACTATGTGCGTTTTTCAGTGGATGCCCTCATAGAGACCAAAGAGATAAGGGCAGATTTTGTCGTAAGCAATGATTGGATTTCACGTGGCCTGCCTGCGGAGTAGGTGTCAAAGATCTGCATGCAAGGGCTGAACCACTGAATCAGCCCACTGAATGCTGACATCTCAAATGACGTATGCATTTCCCGTTGGGTATAGGGACCACCAATACATTTATCGATAAATTTTCTCCTAAAAATTTAACAGATATAAGATACTTTATAATACAACGAATCTGAAAAAAAACATGTCTGGATTCGTTGTACTATAAAGTGTCTCGTTCGGTGCTAGATTGCTATATTATGGGACGGAGGGAGTACTATCTATAAAGACGATGAGTAGTAGTAGTAGTTCAGTTCACCTATGGCCGGCCATGGGACGCAAGAGATGGAGTGTTGCTTCGTAGTGCCCAGCGAGAAGACGCCGAAGCATGTCCTCTGGCTTTCTCCCCTCGACATCGTCTTGGCCAACAGAGGAGCCCTCACCCCGCTCGTGCACTTCTACCGCCGCCGCCATGATGCCGCCGGCGGCGGCGGCGGCTTCTTCGACGTGGGCAGGCTCAAGGAGGCTCTGGCCAAGGCGCTGGTGGCCTTCTACCCCCTCGCCGGCCGCTTCCGCGTCGGCGGCGACGGCCGGCCCGAGATTGACTGCAACGCCGATGGCGTCTTCTTTGCGGTGGCTCGGTCGGAGCTCGCCGTCGATGACATCTTGACTGATCTCAAGCCGTCGCCGGAGTTGAAGAGGCTGTTCATCCCCCGTACTGAGCCGCCGTCTGCCGTGCTCGCCGTACAGGTCAGTGTTTCGTTTCGCTAGTTCGTTCCTACTTGATGACGCCGTTAATTTTGGACCTGATTGTTTTTTTTATTTAAAAATTTTGTGTAAACGGATTAGATATAAATCATGCTTAAAATACTTTTAGTAATAAAATAACTCACAATAAAATAAATAATAATTATATTTTTTTAATAAATGATCTAAACGTTAACAGTATTATCTATTAAAAACGAAGGTACTCTCTCCATTTTACGATGTAAGACATTCTAGCATTTTTTATATTTATATTGATATTAATAAATCTAGACATATATATCTATATAGATTCGAACGTGGTAAATGTTAGAATAACTTATATATTTTATATATTGATTCTAGCATTTTCTATATTCATATTGATGTTAATAAATCTAGACATATATATCTATATAAATTTATTAACATCAATATAAACATGAGAAATGTTAGAATGACTTACATTGTGAAACTAATGAAGTAGTATTCAATTTGATTTGCTTGGATCGAAGTTAGAATACGTAGGTTTCAGCATTTATTTTTCTTGCAGGTGACCTTCTTGAGATGGGGCGGTATAGTGTTAGGGACGGCGATGCACCATGCCGCCGTCGACGGCCATAGCATGTTCCACTTCTTGCAAACATGGGCTGCTTTCTGCCGGGACGGCGACGCCGCCGTGGTGGAGCTGCCCTGCCACGACCGCGCCCTCCTCCGCGCGCGCCCCCGGCTCGCCATCCACCCTGACGCCTCCTCCGTGTTCTGCCCCAAGCTAAACCTCCGTCCGCCGTCGGCGTCGGGCTCGGGCCTCATCTCCGCCAAGATCTTCTCCATCTCCAACGACCAGATCGCCACCCTCAAGCGGATCTGCGGCGGCGGCGCGAGCACCTTCAGCGCCGTGACCGCCCTTGTGTGGCAGTGCGCCTGCGTCGCACGCCGGCTGCCGCTGTGCTCCCAGACGCTCGTCCGCTTCCCCGTGAACATCCGCCGGCGCATGAGGCCACCCCTCCCGGACCGCTACTTCGGCAACGCGCTCGTCGAGGTGTTCGCCGCCGCCGCGGTGGAGGACATCGTATCGGGGACGCTGGCCGCCATCGCCGCCCGAATTAAGGGCGTGATTGGCCGCCTAAACGACGACGAGATGCTGCGGTCGGCGATCGACTACAACGAGATGGCGGGGATGCCCGATCGTCCGGACAATGGCAGCCTGCCGGAGACGGAGCTGCGGGTGGTGAGCTGGCTGGGCATTCCGCTGTACGACGCGGTGGACTTCGGGTGGGGGAAGCCATGGGCGATGTCCCGTGCGGAGTCATTGCGCGGAGGGTTCTTCTACGTGATGGACGGCGGGGCAGCGGATGGTGACGGCGGGGACGCCGCCGCCGTGCGGGTGCTCATGTGTATGGAGGCTGCAAATGTGGAGGAGTTCGAGCGATTGCTTCGTGCCAAGTTTGTGTACCCGAGGATTTGATTTAGCATGTGTCGGTTGGCTTTGTTGGAGTCTCTCTTCTCTGTGTTGTGTAAGCGCATATTTATTGGGACTAGCTACACAATTTATGACAGAAAATCCCACGTTGCATCTTGAAATTCTAGACCGTTGGGTTGGCTTTAAGATTCGTGTGTACTGTAACCTTATCGTTTTACTTTCAGGATTGCTAATCCGCGCAGACGCGCCGGATTAGCAAGTCGCGCGCGTTTCGAGTCCGTAGCTTCTGGCGCTCCTTTTTTTTCTTCTTGTTTCCGTTTTTTCTGTTTCTCGTCGCACGTGGGCCACTATAATCACGTGTCATTAACGCTAATAACCATGCTAAGCGTATGGATTAATCTAATTAAAGATTTTATTATCAAAATAATATATAAATAGCTAAGTTGAAAAGTTTCAGAGATATGATGAACATTTTTAAAATTTTTGTTGAAAGTTTTCAAAAAATTGCCTTCAAAGTTGAATTTTCGAGTTGACAGTTTTGAAATTCGAGTTGGAAGCTTTCAAATTCAAGTTGGAAGTTTTCATATTTGAGTTGAAAGTTTTCAAATTTTGATTTAAAAGTTTTCAAAATTTGAATTGAAAGTTTTTAAATTCGAGTTGAAAGTTTTCAAATTTTGAATTGAAAGATTTAAAAACTTTCAACTCAGATTTAAAAACTTTCAACCCCAATTTGCAAACTTTCAACTCAAAATTTGAAAATTTTCAACACAAAATTTAAAAACTTTCAAGTCAATATTTGAAAACTTTTAAATCAAAATAAAAAACTTTTCAATTCTACATTTGTAAAGAGGTGTACGAAAGATTAGAAGAAAAATCGGAAAGAAACGAAAAAAAAGAAAAAGAAAAACGCGCCTAAGATCAAGAAAAAAAGTACGAAAAAAATAAAAGGGCCCAGGGGGAGGGGACAGCTGGCGTGCGCGCCAGCAAAATTGCTGGCGCGTATGCACGCACTAGCCATCCCCTTTTACTTTCCCTCACTACCGTATGCACGCACACTCAAGCCCGATGAGCTCACCTCTAGGGCTGCCGAGCACCGATAACAGCGTCTTCTCCTCAAGAGTAGCAGTGTCTTCCCCGTCTCTGATGGCTCCCCGTCACCAAATCCACAACCAACCACTTGATTTATTTGCCCCAACCACCAACACCGTCCCACCGCCCGTCACCGACCTCGTGGCTCTGATGGAACCACCGGTGCCTCGCCGCTTGCCTGTGTCCACTGTCAGTCCTCTAAGCCCTAGCTAAACCCTCCAACTCCCCCTCCTACCCAAACCCTAATTTACATGTACTTTACTAGAGCTCACAGGAGTTGGGCACTTTACTAGAGCTCACAGGAGTTGGAGGAGCCCAGGTATAAATCTTGGTGCGAATCCGATGATCCAAAATCTGTAAAATTTCATCCCTAATTTCTGTTGCATGCCATTTAGTAGATCCGATATTTATATTTGATTCTTAGCTGCTTGTGTTTTCTCCCTGCCAGCACACACGGATATATAATAATCAAATGATTGATAATTTGTAGATTGGTTGCATATGTTTTTGAGGCGACTACGGATCGGACGCCCAAGTCATGATGAAGTCATCCTACATGTATGTATCTAAGCGAACTTTAAACTATTTTTCTCTTAAATTATTTATCCAAATCATGATCCGATTGCACCATTAAATCTGTTACAATTAAATATTTAAAACAAGACCACACATGGATATAATCCGACGAAAAAAATAGTTTTATTATTAAATTATTTTTAAATGTTGCACGCTATTGCACTAAGTATATCGGAATTGTTTCACTAAGTAGATCGAAAATGTTTCATCGAACGTTGTTTCACCTTATATGAAAACAATGTTTCAGCAAATAGCAAAAGGATGTTTCAATTCACTGTAACATTTAATCCATACATAGTGAAACATCACGAGTACACTAGCTGAAACATTTTTGGTGGAACAAAAAATGAAACGGATTCCCTTAATAGAGGGTTTTTATAATATGTGGGTGATTTGTTACAAAAGAATATTTCAATTCACTGCAACATTTGATCTGTACATAGTAAAACATTATGAGTATACTAGGTGAAGCATTTTTTGTGGAATAAAAAATAAAACGGATTCTCTTAATAGATGGTTCTATGGGTGATTTATTGCAACGGCATGCGTGGTGGGGACACATGGCGGGGGCGGCGCACGTGGCCGTGGAGGATTGCGGGCGCCTGATTTGGGGCATTTCCCATATGTTTTGCGGTAAAAAACAGAGTAAAACATTCACCAGAAATGCGGAACGATGTCGTGTTCCTTGCCATTAAAACCTTTCGAAAATAAATATCGTGCCGTGTTCGTTGGTCTCTCGTTCCTCAACCTATCCAATCCGAGCCGAACCGACCTCTTGCAATATAATGCTGGTGGTTCGAACTTCGAATTCTAACGGGCCGGTCGAGTTGGGTTGCTAACATTTATAGTGATCTAATTAACATATGGTGAGCTTTAGCCGCACAAATTAGAATAGGCCTACAAGTAGTAACCTGGAAAAAGTTAGGAACGTTAATACGATAGATGAACACTACATCCTTTTTATGTAGTAGGGGTAGAATTTGCTGACCCAGTCTTCAAAGACGCTCATAGGAGTAGGGTTTATATGTGTGTTCATGAAGATGAGTGTGTGTGTGCATGTTGTGAGTATCTGCGTTGTACCGTGTAATTCTAAAAAAATATATACTTTATTTGTCTCAAAATATAATCATTTTAAATTTTATCTTAAGTCACATTATCCAAAATTAAACTAGGTTTATAGAGAAAATAATGATATTTATAATATTAAATGAGCATCATCATAATTGTTATAAAATGAGAAAATTTGGAAACTATCGTCATAAAAATAGTGAGTTATAAGATACTATTTCATATGAGAACTAGATTGATACGTCAATGATATATATGATGGTTTTTTTTTTAACTACGTGATCTTTGAGATGTATCAAATTAATAGATTGGCTTGGCTGGAGTTGGAGTCTCTATGTTGTGTAAGCGCTTACTCCCTCCGTCCCGAATTAAACAAGCATAGGACCCTTGGCATATTGGATTGTTGTAGAAGATACAAGAAAATGAGCGCAACAAGTTGGATGTAGTTGATCACTTCAACACTTGATTGAAGCATTGAGTTAATTAACCTAAAGAATTTACTACATGAATTCACGTTAAATTAAGAAAGATACTAACAAAATATGTGCGTCAATCTGATTATCTTTGGCATTAGATACATGGCGTGCTTGCTCTTCTCAAGAACCAATTAACATTTTGCCTTTTTCCCCATTAATTTCGTTCGGAAGCATGTTCTATTATGGGACTGAATTTCCAATTACGTTGGGCCTAGACCAAATTAATCCAGGAATAGAACTACGTACTAATGTGGATCTTGACGTCCTTTCTTTAATTTGCTTTAGTACCACATCGCTTACCCAAGTCGGGGTCTACACGGTCATAAGCGTAACAAGAACTCCCTGTGGCACCGCGTGGTAGACGTGGTTAGCAATCATCTTGATTGATATGAAACATGGTTATCTCTGGTCGCAGGAATCTCAGCACACGACATGTTGTGCTCAGCCATTTTGCTATTCAATATCCACGTTTGCCTTATAGATTATTACACGGATTTCACCTCTTTTTTTTCTTCTGTTGGTGCTCTCAGTTTTATAATCCGATGTTTAAAATCGAGTTTATAAATTAATTAACATCCCAAAGGTACTTCATACTTTTTTTCTCATTATCGATAAGTTGACGTCTGGATATAAATACCCAACGGAGAACGGAACAACCGAATATACAACTACCAATCCTCTCAACCGCACCCAAAAAACAATTCTACTGAGTTTTTAGAGTTTTGGTGAATAAAATTTACATTCCCAAAACACTTCAACCAATTTATACATCGATGCCCAAGGAAAAAACACACAATCTGCTACTTGTGCCAAGCCAACCTTGCTTAGACCAGAGCACTCAGCCACTCACACCAAATCGGCAGCATCCCGCTATCTGATCTCTCATGACCATAATTCCTACCACCACAATCTGAACAAGAGAAAACAAATACTACTCGTCTTATTAAAAAATTAAATAATTCTTAATTCTTTTCCTATCATTTGATTCATTGTTAAATATACTTTCATGTATACATATAGTTTTACATATTTCATAAAAAAATTTTGAATAAGACGAACGATTAAATATGTGTTAAAAAATCAACGGTATCAAATATTTAATAACTGAGGGAGCATTACTTGTACTCTGCATCATCACACCATCGATCTGACGAGCCCACGACCAAAAGGATCAAATCGGCCGCCGACCCAATCACCGGAGAAAGTAGTGCTCCTCCCGCCATCATCGACGTGCGGTACGGTCAAACCTGACAGCGACGTCCCCCCAAAAATGCGCCGAACTGAAATCTATCTGAATTCGCCGACCCACTACTGAAACCCTCCATAGAAAAAATTAACCTGAATTTCGTCGCCGTTTTGTCTTGTTCAGAGGCACCAAGTCAAGATGAACATGGGCGCCGCGCATGCATGTTTGTGTGTGTGCTCAGTGGTAAACGGCCGGCCAGTAGTGTGTGCAATCTCTCCAACCACTAAACAAAAAAAGTTTAGATAAGTTGCCACTATCTCCTCCAATCACTCCTGAATCACAGCTTTTTGGACTGAGTTGAAATGTATCAGTTTTTCTAATCTCTTATTTTCTGTGTTAATCGGTAAATGCTGTTATTTTAAAAAAATATAGGTATATAAAAGTTGTTTTAAAATTATATTGATTAATTTTTAAGTTTTAAAAGTTAACACTCCCTCTATCTCATAATTTAAGATATGGTCAAACTCGATACTCTTTGACTTATAGTTTCTTATATAGCACAAGATTTATAGTAACAAAATTATAACCATATGAAACTAAATTCAAATGGCAATCCAATGATATTATTTTAAACAAATAAATTCAATTCATATTATACTAATTGTTATGAAGGGATTATTTAATTAATAATGTGTTAATCTATTGCTTGTTTTATGCGCGTGAAGAATTAGTTCCCAACCCACGTTAACGAAGACAGCCTTGTGTCCTCCTATAAAAGCAGCAGTTGTGAGCCATGGCGATCATCGTGCTCAGCTCATTTGCATTTGAATTGAAAGATCAAGAGAGAAATCAAGAAGAGATCGAGAGGATCGAAGCTGTAATCTCCGTAGAGATGGCGGCGGCGGCAATGGATGACTCGTTCAGGAGGGCGGGGGCGATACCGTTCAAGTGGGAGATCTGCCCGGGGACGCCCAAGCACGCCAGGAGCGCGAGCGCCTCCGCGGCGTCGGCGGCGGTGGTGTCGCCGGTGCCGCCGGCGCTGGCCAAGGTGGCGACGAGGCAGCAGCTGGCGCTGCCTCCCTGCATGACGTCGCCGCGCGCCTCGCCGTCGCCGTACTACCACTCCCCGCGCCTCTCCTCCGCCGCCGCGTGCAGGTCGGCGGCGTCGGCCTCGCCGTGCCGGAGCAGGTACGCCGGCGGCGGCAGCGCGTACCGCCCCCGCCCCACCGCCTTCCTCGACCTCGCTCCCCGAGCCACCACGGCGCCGGACTTGTACGGCGCCGCCCACGAAGCTGATCACGACGAGCCCGCGGCGGCGCCGGCGTACGGGTGCTTCCTGCTCCCGTTGCTCCGGAGGAAAGGCAGCAGCAAGAAACGCGGCGGCGGCGGGTATTCGTCCGGCTCCGGCGGCTCGAGCTCCTCCGGCAGCTTCAGGTCGGACGGCGAGCCGGGCGGTGGGCTGCGGCGGTCGGCGTCGTCGTCTTTCTCCTTCGCTCGCGGCGGCGGCAACCGGATCAGGCTCGCCGCCGGAGCGAGGCAGCAGGAGGAGGTGGAGGCGGCCAGTGGCAGCTGGTTCTTCTGATCATCATGTCGCCATTGTTGATTTGATCAAGTTAAAGTTGTGAAGGATTTATTAGCTAGGAGAAATTAAAGGAATTAGCAGCTTTAATTTTTGCGTTTTGTTGCGTGGTGAGGATGAGAGAGCCCAGTTCGATCGATTACATCAGACTGGTGGCTGTTTGTGTGTGTCATGTGTAAAGAAGATAGACATGAACAGTTTACATACTCCATTGCATTTCATTTTAGTGGAGAGTCCACTCTATATGTTGCTGTTAAACTAGTGCATTAACCGTCAAGATTACACATTGAGATCCTCCGATGTAAAGTTAAGAGAAAACATGGTCATTGACATGTAGAACCCATCACACTCATAGGCTCATATATCAGTGACCACGTCATAACTAATTCCGAATATTGCACATGTGCGCGTTTAGATAGGCATGCATGGTGCCAGTTCAGAGAAAGCCTTCTTTTTTAATTACTTACCAAAGTGAAATTTGGCAACTAGTTGGAAAATTATATATTTAAATTTGCTAATAATCATCCCATAAACAACCATGAAAATATGCATTACTTAAATTTGTTAATTAGATTCACCACTTCAAAAAGAAGAAGAAATCCGGACGTGCCACCAGCCCACCACAAAGTTGGCATTAGTTCACTACGGTACGGGGTATATTTCAGGGTACAGGGTATATTTCAGAGTAGGGGGAAATTTCTCCACACATCCTCAGTGAGTTAGTTCACTCATCACCATCAACAATATTACCACCAAATTTTTATTATCAACAGAAAAAATCAGCAATAATATATCTGCTTCAACATCAACATTGAAAAATATAGCAAGAGGAAGAACTAACTATATATATATATATACTATAAAAAATACCCGTGCGTTGCAACGGGTAAAGACATTTTTTCACTAATATATTAAGAGTTAAGCAATAAATTAAAATATTGGAATCGCTATATACATTATAATTGAAAAAGTTGATGGGAATCCTAACATTGGGATTGTCAGTGTTATAGATACCACATACCTAATAGTAGTCGACTAAATCTCGGCAGGATCCACCACATACCATGTCTTATACGAAAACAACCTTCGGATATAGGAGGAGTTCTGCATAAGGAAGGATGAATAGAGTTCTACATAGAAATGACAAAGACTACTTGGATTGTATCCATATTAATTTCCCTAGTTCTACTTGGACAAGGGGACACCTATGGATATAAATACAAGGCCCCATAGGAGGAGGAGAGGGGACACGAAACAATAGATCAAGACATAAGATCAACATATAAGCCAACATGTGCCAAGACAAGACACTAGATATCGACTTCAGAGATAAACATGGCTAGTGCCCTACGGTGTCTACGGATACTGTCAGGAGAGACATAGCGTTGTCTTTGATCTCGCCAGATGCGGATTCGAGGAGGAAGGCTATCCTGTTGTCGACTACGAGTCAGCACTTCAGACCTTAAGTCGACAACAGTTAGATAGGCTACCCCAAATATTGTACTGGTGTGATTATGGTGAATAAGAGCAACGACCGGCTTCGGCCAATAGGAGTAGGGTTATTACCAGACAATTCAGGGGCCCGAACCTGTATAAAAATCCTCGTCCCCATTTCTTTTATTACAATCTCGCATATATCCTAGTACCAACGATCCCCATACTATGCAAATACCGGAATCGCGACATCAAACGTCGACAGGGATCGCTATAGATTATAATTAAAAAAGTTAATGAAAATCTTTCCTGGGTTTAGGGTCGATAGCCTCCTTCCTTTTTAGCCCTAGGCCAGCTACCTCCCTCCGTTTGGCCTGCTTCACTTCAACCCAGCCACAAGTTGAGCCATAACCGCAGTTCACACAGTCTACTACCATCTTCGGTCAGACTGTTGTCTCCCTCCGTTTGGCCTGCTTCCCTTCGACCCAGCCACAAGTAGAGCCGTAAGCACAGCTCGCAGAGTCTACTACTATCTTCAACCTCCCGAAGATAGTCCCGTGGCCGTACCGTTGTCGAAGTAAATCTCCCCAGAGGAGCAAATCTCACCATCAAATCTGGTCGAATCTTTCTCGTTCACCCAAAATTGGTTGAGAGTTTTTATCCACTCGATCTTCTCTTTCTGTTTTTTCCAAAATCAGAGTGTAAAACTCTTTGTTCCCCATCAAATCCAGCCGAATCTTTCTCGATCACCCAAAATTGGTTCTCAATCTTCTATTTCCGTTTTTTTCCAAAATCAGCTCGGGATAAAAACAACCGGGGAAGATCGCCGTCATCATCGGCAATTGTTAAACGTAGATTAAATTTGACGAATTAAAGCCGAATCGAAAAGGAAAATAATGAAGAAAATGATGAGAGAGTAGTGGGGAAGTTTTTTTAATCAAATTGGAGGAGAAAACGCACAATCGGTACGGTGGCGGCGCAGCGTCAGGGTTCAACTCAGAAGGCGTGCAGCGAACAATCGGATTAAAAACAGAAAAACCAAAACCACACAGGAGAAAAAAAAAACGGCGATAAAAAAAATTGACGAAAAAAAACAAAAGCACCCAGAGGCGCGATCGGATTAAAAAAACGGACGAAAAAACAAGAGCCTAAACGCGTGCACGTAAAAAACTCTTTCACGTGCAAAAAGATGGGAAAAAAAACCCGTGCCAAAAATCCAAACGGAATTTTTTTCTTTTTTAACTGGCCAGACCTTTTTTTTTTCCTTTTAAGTCGGACGATACTGACGAGTGACGACAGATATTTTTTTATGGCTTTTGAGTCGGACTTTTTTTTACCTCTTTGAGTCGGACTTATTTTTTTTAACAGACAATGGAAATTGAAGTAGTGGAGATAACATAAAATTAAAATTAAAGATCGACTTAAACACGAATGATGTACCAAAGTACTAGACAAAAATATCTTCAATTTTTTAATAGTAAAGAATATATATATATATATATATATATATATATATATATATATATATATATATATATATTAGCTCTATTATACACCCCTCCCTTAGAATAACTATTCTACACCCCCTTCCACCTCCCATCCCCGTCCCGCCTGTCGCTCCTCTCTCCCTCCGATTCCCCTTTTTTTTCTCTCTCCCTCCTTCTTCTCTCTTTTTTAGAAAAAATTAAAAATAAATTGGTAAATTCAAGACTTGAACCCATAATCTCATAGTTAATGGCAAGCACTTCTAATTTGTGAACAAATCAGTTATGTACCTATAACAATCATACCTTATTATTATGATTCGGCAGTAACATTATCCCAGAAGAGTAGTAACATCATATGTTACTGCAAAAATGTATAGGTTGTTACTGTAAACTTTATAGGTTGTTACTGCACTTTTGGCAGTAACAATATGACGAAATTTGCAGTAACAGAGAACATGCATAGTAACAGTGGCCCTATAGTAGTAATGTTTTTAGATCTAGAGTATTTTAAATCTCAATCTTTAGAGAGTACTAACGTACACATTATGTCTTATTTTTCTAACACATTTGCATCATGGCGTTCGTAAAAAAAAGTGCTTAACGAAACTAGAACCATCATAACTATTTTTTAACGTTGTTACTGCGAAAAGCAGAGATGTTACTGCATATTGGCCATCATGTTACTACGCTGTTTCAGTGAGACGAGAACTAAAAAAGAGGTAAATCTCAATCTTTAGAGAGTAATATCTCTCACATCATATCTTGTATTTCCAATCCATTTGCACCATGAAGTTCATAAAAAAACGCTTAACGAAACAAGATCCATCATGGCTACTTTTTGACGTTGTTACTGCGATAATGTTTTCTTGTTACTGCACGATAACCGTCCTGTTACTACACGATTCTTGCAAGACGAGAGCAGCAAAGTGGTGGGTGGGGGTGGGAGTGGTGGGCGGGTTTGACCGGCGGGAGGACGCTTTGACCGAGGTGGGAGGGGGATTTTGGGCCCTAGGGAGGGTGGGGGAGGTGAGTTTGACCCATGGGAGGGGGTGTAGAATAGATTCACTATATATATATATATATGTAATACACATGTAGGTATAATATACTCCCTCCGTCTCATAATATAAGGGATTTTGAGTTTTCGCTTCCAACGTTTGACCACTCGTCTTATTCGAAAAATTTTGAAATTATTATTTATTTTATTTGTGACTTAGTTTATTATCTACAGTACTTTAAGCACAACTTTTTGTTTTTTATATTTGCAAAAAAATTTTGAATAAGACGAGTGGTCAAACGTTGCAAGTAAAACTTAAAATCCCTTGTATCGTGGGACGGAGGAAGTATGGCCAAATTAAATTAACAATCTTCCGGCGGATGGTAGCAGATGCCGTAACAAGTCGACGCAATAATGCCGATTGAAGTTAGTATGAAGAACGCCGACACGACGCCGGAAGGCCCCCCCCGTACACCACCAACGCAACGATCGTCGAGGCGACGAATGCCGTGCCCAACACGGCCCCCGTGATGCACTGCATGCAACAAACAAAATCACCCCCAAATCATCAAAAAGCAATGAATTAGTTTAATTAATTAGTTGAAAAATAAGAAATACTCCCTCCGTCTCATAATATAAGAGATTTTTTTAAAATTATTATTTATTTTATTTGTGACTTACTTTATTATCTACAGTAGTTTAAGTACAACTTTTCGTCTTTTATATTTGTAAAAAAATTTTAAATAAGACGAGTGATCAAATGTTACAAACAAAAACTCAAAATCCCTTATATTGTGGGACATAGGAAGTATAAACTTCAATTCATTAGTTGATAGATAAGCAATAATTAACCAAACGATAGCAAAAGTGGTATTAAAAAAGTGAGGATCTATATATGAAGTTTGTGTATATAAGAAAATTAGTACTCCCTTCATTTTCTAATGTATATATAATAGTATTGGCTTTTGTTATAACGTGTGACCATTCAAAATAACTTTATATTAATCTTAGCAATATAAGTAATGCTTAAAGTTTCTTAATTTAGTGATATAAGTCAAGCCACAACAAAAGAAAAAATATTTACTTAAATTCTTTGAACGAGACGAATAGTTAAATATGATGTAGAAAAACTAACGGCATCATATATTAAAAAAGAGAGGTACTAGAATAAGAATAAGATAGAAGGTAAGCATGTTGACTAACTTCACCACATATTAACTTACCAAGCAAGTGGAAGCTCACACAAAGTGCAGGCAATAAATTATTAGCTACATGTATGGTAAACCTTAGCACAAACTGAGTATATGACGTCAACCAATCAAAAGCTTGTCTAACAAACTATGGCACGCCCAAGCCCAATATATAT